CACAACTTCCATATAACAAAATCATGCATGCCTTTGACACAAAATTTAAAACAAGTCATGCTTTAACACCTAAGCATATTCATAAGGCATCAATTTCATATCATAATTTGCAAATCTCAAAATATAAAAAAAAAAATATAGAATTTGCTCAAATAAAAGAAAAAACTCGAAAATCCCTACCTCAATATGGAAGAAAACTCCCAAATTTCAGCCTAAGCTCGAAAATCCCAAGTGCTCCAATCGAGAATTGGTTCTGGTCAACACAAAGCCCTCGTCGAGTTCGTCGACTTTGCCTTCAGTGGCAAAGTCAAAATTTTAAAGGTTAAGCCCAGATCTGAGCTTGAAATAGTGGAGAAAAGAAAAAGAAAAATAGAAATAGAGAGAGAGGAGGGCTACGTGAGAAGAAAGATGAAGGAAATTGGTTTGTAATGACCCCTTTGGTCATTATAATGGTTAATGTAATGGCTAGTCCCACGACTTTAAAAAAAAAAAAATTCTTTGTCATTAAATATATATATTTATATATATATATATACACTAACACATTACAACCATCCATTTAAACTTACAATCATATAATTAAGCACAAAATAATAATGTATGAAATGCAACAATCATGAAAAATAATCCCCGTGCTTAACAACTCTTGTTGCAGGTCCCACTTGGGACCTCCCGGCTCGAAAAACTGAAAAATGCCGAAATGGCAAACAATGTATTTCGAAGAGTCCTAGACTCGAAGAAATGTCCCAACTAACTCTCAAGACTCACCCAGTATACTCTACGGTGTCTGTCACGTAAAACGAGGCTAAAACGAAAAAAAAAATCCTTGAAAATGGAAAATAGGAAAAATTCGAAACATTACAATCTACCCTCCTTAAAGAGATTTCGTCCTCGAAATCTACCTTCCTTAAAGAAAGAGGCCCACAGTCACAGACCTTCCCAAGAAACACCTTACAAAACCATAAGACTTTGAGCTCACCAACCTTATTACCTTTGACACCGGATGTCACCAGGCAATCAGACACCACTGCCACTAAAACACAATGCTCACCACCTTATAAGGGTACTCATCACTTACCACATCATAACACAAAACCAGATGGATTCTATACCCGACTAAAAACTGACATCGGTCCACTTTACATCGCTACGTAAGAATCCAAAGCTTGAAAGAAGAACGGTCACTAGACCATCGAAAATGACAACATCCAATCACAACTCATCCTTTGAAGAACACACAAAACCCTAGACAAGGAATCCCGTCCACCATACACTATGTCCCAATCCAGGTGAACACATTCCCGATAACCACACTCACGTGACTTAATACACAGCTACATTATCACATAACCGTACAAGCGATTTCCAGTTACTTTACTCTATAATAATTACACTTAGCGCCTCCCAAGATGGCTAAATGGTAAATCTCCCAATGACTATATAAATATGAGTCACACAATCACAAAGAGTACTATCAATTACTCCAGACACAATTCCGTAAAACATGATCCTCGATAATCAAATGATCGCACCAAAAACCTTTATCCGACACTTGGTCCTACTTAATACTCCTCATTTCAAACCACCCGAATCCACACTGTCACACCGACATAACGTATAATACCATACTCTCACTGTCCTTGACAAATCGAAACAATCATTGACCTTTGACCCGACATCGTGTTAAAGAGGAACTGATTTAGGAGAAATAGTTGGCCAGGCCATTCTCATCATTGATCCGGTCTCAACACAGACGTCGTTCCTATCCTTAGGTCCAAACCTCAAACACAAACTCACACAGTTCACAAGATAACCATGAGATCCACTCACTATCAATGCATCACTCTACGTAACCTCAACAACTATACAGTCACACACCTGCTTTAAAAATCCCAATCATGTCTTAATCACACAACCCATAGCAAGCTAAAAGCAACACAATATCAAATACCACAATCATCAACCAGAATAAAAGCTCTCCGATCTCCTCATAACACTCATACCAGGTAGACAACTCCATAACATCAATCGATTCCATTCTTACTTCTTCAAAACACACAATACGACGATATCTCATACCTAAAACCTCAAAACCAAAATCAATCATTCCCATTATTCCTCTACGAAATCCCACATTCACATCTCTAGCTGCCAGCACTCAAACAACACCAACACTTGTCCTTAAGGCATTGCTCGAATCAAATATCTATAAAAACATCCAAGTACATGACTCACATTACATCACCTAATCGTCCTCGAACTTCCAGTTCACGACACATCCCCTAGTCATCACCACTAGTATCAGACACTGGAAACATATAATCCCTATTTGGCAACTTGTGCCTCACACATCACCAGACAAAACCACTCTCAGAACAAGCACCACTAAAACCAAAGACCCCACTTCCCTCCGTGGGAGTGAGTCGACCAATACAACCAATCCTTTACCGGTGAACTCTAACAGTATAATAAACCACACACGGGTCAGCCCATTCGCGGACGCGCATAACTCCTAAATGGAGAACAAGACTCACAACAAATGACGTCCCTGTCAGGACCAGAACAAATGGAAGGGTAACGAACCCTACACTCACAAGAGACCGATAACTTGAATCCAGGCATACTTAACGCCCTGTCACACGCCACTCGCCAAATGCCCAATTGTGGACACTCAATCTCACCCAATATGAACTGAACTCCTTACATATAAGGATGAGAACCAATCGGATACCCATACAGAATTATGAACACGAATCTAGGCGATCTCGCCACTAACAGACAGTCATATAATATGAATACTGGAACCTCGCATAAGCTACACCGTGATACCCATGCTAGCCAAAATAAATAAGACCCATACCACTTTCTCGTCAAGTATTAGGATACAGGTCACAACACGACCATCAGACAAGAGCATCAATACTCATAGCATACTATCACTAGGAAAGATCACAGCCCGTCAGACACTGCGTCCCGTTCTACCTGGAACCCGTCATTCCCAATCGATAACCTCCATGTCGTGAAATAACACTTTGACACCTATTCCATCTCTACCTTCCCAGGTGACACTACCTCAAACACCATGCACACAAGATTCGTGACTTCAGTCACAGCAACCCACTAACTCGTCAAAAGAAGAAGAAAAAAAGAAGTGCTTATATGGAAACATCGTCCTCACTAGCTCTAAAAACTAAACCGTTCACAATTGCTTTGAATGGTGCACAACCCCATCACCTGTCTGACAACGTATAACAAACAACTCACCTCTCTAAACTACATTTGGACCACACCTTAAACCGCTTTACCCATTAGTACTAAACATCATGCCATAACGTCTCTACTACCATCATCCTCAAATGACAACTTGGACTCACGTCCCACCAACTCAACAGACTACCGCCAAGTGATCCCCCTCAAGTCTCTATAGGATAACACTATCACAAACAAGAGAGTATGCCTCACTCTCGATACTCCCCAGAACAACCACAATTTGCCACTAAAAAATAACCTTTAAACGATAATACCATGCTGATAATTTCTAAAAGGAAAAATGAGCACCGAAACCAGAACGCTCAACGCCCAACTGTCTCCTCAAAACCATCTACAACACAATCAGTCACTAACATATAATCGGTTACTCAAGCCACTCTTCCCAAGGCAATCTACGCACCCAGTTAAGATATCTTCACGCTCTAGGTTTAACATCATTACCTCTCCTCTTCACTGTTCCTTCTAACACCCTTGGCCCCGACAAAAGTCAAATGGGGCTACCAGCTAAACCTATAAAATCACCCACATCCCAAATCACTCCAAATCGACAGTCTATCTTATTGGATCCTCAAAAAACAAGTACCACCTCCTGATACTCCAGACGCAATTGAAATATTGCCCCAGTTCACAACTTTCAAATTCTAAAACACAGTACATACCATCTATCACTTCATCCGCAACAACTAAGCACTTCAATGATCCTATGCTACCTGCCTTATCATGCAATCCTACACTACTCTGCCAAAATTAACCACTTACGCCACCCTAGACTCACAAAGTCTAACAAGTCCCCTTAACAATCATAACCAACACGCTTCCTTAAACTATACCAGAATACCCGAAATATACGTCCACAATCACTAGACCATGCTCAAGACTCTGCCAATCCTAATTACACCTATCGCAAACTCGTTTGAAAAGAATATCCACACTAAACCGTGACCTAAGTCGCGTTAACCTCCTAAGGTCATACCTTTCCCCCACGAAAACTCCATCTCGTACACCTGACCTTCATGGTCATAAGAACCCATACACTAATGCATGAAACTCACATACAACATAGACACCGTGCCATGAAATATGAACCCATTCTAAGATTGTGCTCTAAACACCGTACTAAAATACAACAAGAAGGTTAAAATGGCCACACACTGAGTAACTCAATCCACGAGCTAGAAGTCCAAGCTATTCGTTCGATAAGAACTAGCACCCAACAGTTCTGGAGCAACCGAGCTCCTCGTCTACCCAGGTAAAAACTGAAACAACCATTTATGTCGCAATAAGTGCTCTACCGTACTAGCAACCATCCCGTGCTCAACCGCATATTCCTATACATACATACATATGTATATAATAACTGGAACATATACCTTGACCATAGTTGTTAAAGGCTCAATGCGCACAAAAATGCAAAGGCCTCCTGGAGCCTGAGGCGCATGGCGAGGTGCGCGCCCGACTGAAGCAGGGCGCACGTTGAAAAAAAAAAAAAAAAACCCACCCAATAAAGATGCAATAGTATATAAAAAGATGCAAAAGTCAACTAAATTAATTACTTAAGTTCAATATTCAATATAAAGATGCCAAAGCCAACTAAATCAAGTACTTGAGTTCAACAGTGAATAATCAAACATATTAATATAAAGATGCAAAAGTCAACTAAAGAGAATTATGAGATATAACTAAAACAAACATAGACATCATTTCTTCCTATGAAGACAACACCAACAAATCTAAATATCCTTGTCATCAATAAGTATAATATCATCTTGATCGTCACTAAATGATTCATAATTCTCAGGATCCTCTTCCATCTCATCTGAATCTGCCTCTTCATCTTCCTCTTCCTCATCCTCATCCACAAGTCGAACTGAAGAAATTTCTACTCCCTATGTTGGTAACCGAGAACTAGAACTAGCTTTTGATCTAGACTGGCGCGGCCTACTATCCTCTCTAATACCAGCAACACTAGCAACATAACCCCATGTCAAGGAATCATCTTCAAAGACTAGATCATCTTCTGTATCAGAATCATCATTTATCCTCCCCGTCAACCACTCGTTGCTCTCATTAATGTCATCGAGTAAAATGGGATCAAGAGTGTCACGCATATTATATCGACGCCTCAATGCCCTATTATATTTGATGAACACTAAATCATTCAAAGTTGTTTGAACGAGCCTATTTCTTTTCTTGTTATGAAGCTACAATATATTCAACTTTAACTAGTAAGTATAAAAAATTAAAAATTTAATTTTCAACAATTAAATTATAAACCTAGTTAATAGATAGTATATACATGCTCAAACACACTCCAATTTCATTCACAACCAGAAGAACTGTAAGTAAGGCTTAAAACCTTTATAGCAAACTTTTGGAGATGTTTTGTTGACTTGCCATAAGCTTCCCACCAATTAGCTATTAAAAAAAATTAGTAATGATGTTTAACAACTTTAGCTTCATCTTTGTATCGACTCTATTGTCAAAATAATTTTAAAACTTAGTTATACTAACTTAATATACTTTACCACTGTACCTGGTCCCCGTACACGTCTCTGTCTAATAGCAAAGGCATTACCAAAGAGGCCCTCAGCTTTAGAATATAAGGACAGCTCCTCGGTAATTTTGTCTTGTTCTTTGACGTCAAAAACTAACCTTGCAATGCATTCATACAAACCCTTTGCAATGTCTTCATCTTCTTCAATTTTCGAATTTGAATAAAAGAACTCTGGGTTCAAATAATAACCTGCTGTGTGCAAAGGCCGATGAAGTTGAACATTCCACCTCTTATCAGTTATTTCAAAAATTTCCTTGTATTTATCTTTTACTTCCCCAAATGATTTTGCAATGGCTTTTTTAGCCGTATCCATAGCCGCATAGATGTATCCCATGGGAGGCTTTCTCTCGCCATCAACTAATCTCAAAACTAGAATAAGAGGACTGGAAACCTTAAGGCTAAAGACAATGGTGTTCCAAAAGGCAGACATCAAAACATAAGAAGTAACTCTTTTACCGGCTTGCTCTTTCGCCCATTTATTACGACTCCATTCTTCCGAAGTAAACATCTTTCTCAAGTTATTCTTTTGCTCGTGAATACTTGATAATGTGATGAAACAAGTAACAAATTGAGTCTTAGCGGACCTCAGCAACTCCTTTTTATGAGTAAAGTGCCTTATAATATTCAACAACTTTGGACGCATATAAATATAACTATTCAACTCCATTGCCCCCTTCATTGTTCTAGAGATGGACGGTATTTTTCCAATATCTTCCAACATCAAGTTTAAGCAATGAGTAGCACATGGTGTCCAATACAAATGTGTGTGTTCTTTCTCTAACATCCTCCCTATTTGAAACCAAACGGAAAAAAATAATATAAAGAGAATGAGTAAATCAAAATTGAATTAAATTATATATTTGTAAAGAATCTAAACTCTAAAAATATATAAAACATTGAACATTCTTACCGGCATATTTATTGCTTGATTCACTATTTGTGACGACTTGGACAACATTTGCTACTCCAATGCGGTTCACAAATTTATTAAGTAAGTTAAATATCTTTTCACCATCCTTTGAAAAAGAAGAAGTATCTATCGATTCAATAAACATGGTTCCCCTTAGACTATTTACTAGGAAATTAAGCAATGTTCTCCCTCTTTTGTCTGTCCACCCATCTGCCATTAATGAGCATCCAAATTTTGACCACTCTTCTCTATGGTCATTCATCGAAGCGTTGGTGCTATCCAATTCCTTCCTAAGCAAAAAAACTCTCACCTCATGATAACTAGGTGGTTTCATGCCAGGATCATATTGTCCAAATGCTTCAACAACCTCGGCAAAACTATCATACTTAACAACATTGAATGCAATTCTTACATCATACATCCACCTTGCAAAAACAGGACATGCTCTTCCTCTCAACTCTTTCTTGCATGTAACATTAATGGTTGTCTATTTTCCCCCCTTTTTTCTTTTTTCTACCACAATTTCTGGTCTGGAACTAAAATATAAATCAATTGGTCCTTTTTGCTTTTGCCTCTTTAAGGAATTGACACTAGCACTACCTACACTAGCTACCCTTTTTCCCCGATTGTTAACTACCACAACGTCTATAGAATTTTCTCAAATAAAAGACAAAACTTGAGGCATTAGGAGAACCCCTACCTTAATATGAAAAAAAAAACCCAAATTTCAGCCCAAGCTGTAAAATCCCAAGTGCTCTAATCGAGAATTGGCTCCGATCAAAACGAAACACTTGTCATGTTCATCGACTTTGCCTTCAGTGGCAAAGTCAAAATTCCAAAGGTTAAGCCTAGATCTAAGCTTGAAATGGTGGAGAAAAGAAAAAGAAAAATAGAAATAGAGAGAGAAGAGGGCTGCTTGAGAAGAAAAGATGAAGGAAATGGGTCTGTAATGGCCCCTTTGGTCATTATAATGGTTAATGTAATGCGGGTCCCACGACTTTGAATAAAAAAAATCATTTGTTATTAAATATATATATATATATATATATATATATACACTAACACGTTACAACCACCCATTTAAACATACAACCATGTAATTAAGTATAAAATAATAATGTATGAAATGCAACAATCTCAAAAAATAATCCTTGTATTCAACAACTCTGGTTGCTGGTCCCACATGGGACCTCCCGGTCCGAAAAATTAAAAAATGTCGAAATGGCAAACAATGCATTTCTAAAATTCATGGACTCGAAGAAATGTCTCAACTAACTCTCGGGACTCACCCGGCACACCCTACAGTGTCCAACACGCAAAACAAGGCAAAAATAAAAAAAAAATCTCGAAAACTTGAAAAATCCCTGAAAATGGGTCATTATAGGAAAAATCCGAAACATTACAGTTTTGATTCTCTTTGTAATTCTCTCATGTATATATTAACATTCCTTCTCAGAACACTCATGCCTCTCACTCTCATACCTGTGTTCTTACTCTCGTGTTATACTCGACTCTCGTGGTACACTCAATGAGAATACACTTGTGTTAACAAATAAAACATAATTACCCATACAACAAACAACCAACCATTCAAGAAAAATAAATCAGAGATATACATGGTTCACTCAAAATCAGAGTTACATCAACAAAGAACAATATTTTTATAAAAACCTTACAAAATAATAGAGGATTACCCAGAGTTATGATTCACCACTCTCAATCCTTTTGTACCCCCAATCACTCACAAGGAAAATCTAAAATCTCATAACCTCTACATTCTTCACACAACGTGTTCTTTTATATACAATAAAAATAGTAATCTCGTTTAGGGTTATAACCCTTTCAAATAAACAATGAAAGTTATCCACCACCTTAGGCCCATCCCCCTTCGCTATGAGGAAGATAAATCACTGAGCACACCCGCAGAGTCCAAAATTTTTCCAAGTACTTGGCTCCCCCTTCACAAGAGTTCACAAGTCTCAATGCACGAGACTTCTACATGCAAATCCAAAAGCAGTCCATTATCCTTCCGTATACCAGCTATATATAAATGAACTAAGTCTAAACACATTGATTCCATGCCTAATACATACGTGCAACTAAACCAAGTCAATATGATCAAGTGACTCTGAAATGGGACATCGAAGAGACCTCTTCACAAGCAGGAATTTTCAACTCATCATTATTTGTCTGGAAACACATCACACGTTCCCGTTTCCAATCAACAATTGAAATTCAAGTACCATTGGTACCCCTTACCAAATGATATGAATCACCTCTTTTTTCTCCTTGTATCAACACCATACAGCCTTTTGTAATCTTCATGACTGCCCTTGCAATGGAACACTTGTAGTCTATGGAATCCAACCGGCTCAAGGATATCAAATTACATCGCAACTTTTGTAAGTAGGCAACGTTCTCCAAAGTGCGTTCTACTTCATCAAACATCTTGATTTTTACTAAACCCAAAGCATTAACAATACATGTATTACAATTAAGAATAGTAAAACAATTGTTCTCAAGTACTTGAAATGAATCAAAATATTCCTTCACGGAGCAAATATAGTTTGTGGAACCCAAATCTAATATCCAGTCATATCGAGTAAGAGTGTTACCTTTGAAAATTTTGAGTACATCTCCAAAGTCTGAAGCATATGCGATAGATACGTTATTCTTGCCCTCATCTTCCTTTCCCTTTCCAAGTGGACAGTACTTTCTGATGTGGCCCCATTCACGGCATCTATGGCACTGCTTGCCCTTTCCTCCAGTTGATCAAGACTTGCTGTTGTTAGATCCACAGGTATCCTACCTTCCCCTATTTTGACTATGAGTAACCATGGCTGAGTCATGGCTCCATCACCAATGTCCCTCTTCTTATCATTAGACAAGAGAGTAGGCTCAACTTCCTTCATCTTCAATCTTTCCTTTCCATATAAGATGGTAATCAAAATTTGCTTATTCGAATCCAGAAGGTAAGAAGTAATAGGGCTTTGTCTTCTTCCTCAATTTTCACGTAAACTTTTGCAAGTTTATCAATGATACTGTGAAATGAACTCAAGTTCAACAAAAGATTTCCACCTTCCTTTATCTTCAGCTTATACAGATCACGCTTTAGATTGAGTTTTGTGGTAATACTCTTCGCTAAATGCAGCTTTTCAAGCTCCTTCCACAATTTCGGTGTCGAATCCTCTCCATTAACATTGTCAATGATATTATCTCTAATACAGAGCCGAATCATGCTAAAACATCGCAACTCTACATCTTCCCACTCAAGATTTACCATATTTTTCGGATTTCCATCCTTTCCCTTCAAAGCTCGATGTAAGCCTTGTTGAACTAGGATGTCCTTCACTTTACTTTGCCAAAGAGTGAAGCTACCCTTACCATCAAAACTCTCCAAGTGTGTATGAATCATGTACAAGGAAAGATATAAATAGGTTAGAGATCCCCAACGGCTATACAACAATTACGGCAACAATCTATACAACTGCTATAATATAATCTAATTATGTTAACAATCTATACAACAACTATAATATAATCTAATTATGTTAACAAGACTAACAGTGAAGGTGGAATGCCATAAAGATGGGTAATAATACGAGAGAATTAGAACAGAAAGATTCGAGTGAGTGATTAGAAATAAAATTAGAATGATGGGGAATGGCGTGTGAAAGAGAGGGAAATGGGTTTTGGTGGGACTAACCTAAGCTTTGCAAAAATGAAATTAAAAATAAAAACAAAAAGCGCGATTCTTTTTGGCAAAGACAGGTAATAAAAATACAAATTGGGAGGTTTAATATGTTATTAACGGGAAACAGAATATCTTGCTAAAGGTATAGTTATTAATGAGCGACTAGATTCCCTGTTTACGTTGTAATATTATTAACAAAGAGCCAATGTTGTCCGTAAATATTAATATTCATGAGTTTCTCATAAAATCCCCGTAAAAGCAACAACAGTCATGAGGTGTACAAAAAGAACCCCGTAAACGAAGATTTTTACGAGGCAACGCATAGGTACCTCGTAAATAACGTGTTACAAAAAATGACTTTTCTTGTAATGCATTATTTTCTTTAGGTTGTCGTTTGTAATTGTTAAGCTTTAAATGAGCATAACCTTATTACATAATACGATTACCTGCAACTAGGAATTTAATTTGGTACACTGAAACTTAGTTAAAATTCCCAAAATGTTAGGAATTGACATAACAATTATTGGTAAAATTAGACCCCAGGCTCGATGTTAAATTAATTGCGCGAACTTTAGTGCCACACCGAAATTATTGATGGGAATGGTTTAATTAATTTCATGTTATTTGTGTTATAATTGATATTTATCACACTTTGTATGGTTTGATTTAGTGGCTTGATATAAAAATAAGTCTACTATGTCTATGAGTATGTGAATGTGTTATGGAATCACCGTGGGCTGACTATTAACGTAGTCTTACAAGTACTTATTGGCATGGTTGAGTTGTCGGGTACGTGGTTTGGTTGTAGGCGTGGTTGAGTTGCCTATTTCCTTATGTATTTAAATGTTGCTTTCATGTTTATCTAAATGAGGTGATCTTCTAGGGGTATTGCAGTACGTAGTAGATCACTCCTTGGTATCTGGGGTTCGTATTTTGGATTATCCGTGTTGTATCATTAAAGAAGTTGGGTTTAAGGGTTCTCTGTTGGGCTGCAGTAGAGGGACCTTGCTCATGAGATTAACCCACCTTTTATTGACATTTTAGGTCCCAGATAGTTTTAGCTATAGGGTTTAAGACTCAGCTCACCATAGTATGGTTGTGATCATCCACTATTTTCCAATTTTGTTTCAATATAGGTCCATAACTTTTTCAAACTTTATGGATGATGGATATTATGGATTTGGATTTAGGGGTGGTCCTTGGTTTACGATTTTCCCAAGTTGTAGTAAATAAGATTACGTATTTAAGCTTCATTGAATGATAATATTTCCTTCCACCGTTATTTATTTCATTATTGTATTTTGTATTTTGTGCTTGTTTATTACTAGATGCTTGATGTCTCTTAATTTTTATGTATAAACCTGGCCAACTTATATATGGAAAGTAGGGGGTATTATAATAAGCGATCGACTAGTTCCTTTTGTGGTTTCTAGGGTTCCAACTTAATCTCTTGGAATTTGGAAAAGCAACATACTGCTGCTCGATCTAGTACAGAATCAAAATATCGTGGCCTTGCTAATCCTTCAGCTGAATTGGTGTGGTTGTAATTGTTATTTCGAGAGTTCGGGTACTTTTTTTTCCCCATTCTTCTGTATTATGGTATGATAACCTTAATGGAACTTATGTAACTATCAATCCTATATTCCATGTATGTAATTAACAAGCATGTGAAACTAATTTTCATTTTGGTTCCAAAAATGTAGCCCAAAAGGATCTTGATGTTCGAT